ATACAGATTAACTTCCTAGCAACACCCTAGCAACCTCATAGCAACACTAAAAACTGCTCAGCAACTGCATAGTAAAGTTGAAAACCACTCAGAAGACTCAGAAATCTAGTTTAGCATTAAACTGTTACTTATCGATAGATTCATTGTTAGCATTAAACTGTATTTACATGTCCATTACATACCGCTTTTTAAGAAAAGAAAATCAATCCGGTTGCAAATGAAACGGGGAAGAGGCAAACTAAGGAGCCTGCCTTTTGTCATTGCAGGAGGTCAATCAATCAGGCCGTGTGCCACAAGCCACCACAAGCAACAGCAGCAATGGCGAACCTCCCAGCATTATAAACCAATCAGCATCTTTCCACAAATAACAAAGGTCTCTAATTACGCCCCTTACAGTCTTTCACACCCCACTGGGTCCTCCTAGTGCTCTGTTTTAAAAAAATCCCATCTAAAATGGTTCCATGCCAGTGATCACACTAATGAACAAACAACTGATCAGTTTCATCAAGCAGAAAATATATGGAACTCGTCCCACACCATTTGTGAATGATACTTCAAATCATTCGGATTTTTGATAAAAGTCGAACTATTATTTTAAGTCATGGGACTTACAGTTCCATCATTGTGTATGTCCATATCCAATTTTGTCATGTTGTTTCATATTTAAAAATGTCCTGGCTCTTCCAAGCTTTATAATGGCAGTGAATGGGTGTTGATATTCAATAGTCCAATAGAAGTCCAATAAAATGACTCCACACAGCTCCAGGGGGTTAATAAAGGCCTCCTGAAGTGAATCGAAACATTTGTAAAAAATATCCATATGTAAAACTTTATAAACCATAAACCATACAACCATAAATCTCCAGCTTCCACTGTTGTACGCGTGCTCACGCGAGAGTGGCATTCCAGCGGATGCCAGGGCATTTTTAAATTTAACTCAGATTGTATTAGTCTGAAAGAAGACAGTCATATACACCTAGGATGGCTTGAGGGTGAGTAAATCATGGGGTAATTTTAAATTTTCAATCCGTTTAACTATCACTGTGCGAGTCAAATAGGGAAGTTCACAACACAACTATAATGATAATGACACAGAGGAACGATATCGTTGAAATCACTTTCAGAACGATTTCCAGCTGAAGAACGACAAACATTGACACCCAATCAGAATCCATCCTGCTTTAAAGAGCACAAGCATTTAAAGCGGCAGACGACAAAACTGCAGAGAGTGATTCTAATAAACAGAATGTTATTTTATGTGTGAGCGCTATATAGTTATCATTCCATCCCTGAATCGGCCACGGAAGCCGTCTGTGAACTCTCGTCCCGTCCTGTCACGGCTATGGAGGCCGTCGGTGAACTCTCTGCCTGTCCTGTCACGGCTAAGGAGGCCGTCTGTGAACCTTCTGCCCGTCCTGTCACGGCCATAGCGTCCGTTTGCGAACTCCCTGCTCATCCTGTCACAGCCATAGAGACCGTTTGCGAACTCCCTGCTCGTCCTGTCACAGCTATAGAGGCCGTTTGCGAACTCCCTGCTCTTCCTGTCACGGCTATGGAGGCCGTCGGGGAATCCTCATCCTGTCCTGTCACGGCTGTGTTGTGATTTGTCACGAATCCTGTCCATGGACTTCCGTTCAATCACCACCAGAGGTCACCCTTCCATTACAGTGACTCTCGCACAACACAAACTGTTGCATGTCATCCCGGACTACATATCCCATCAGCCATTGCACTGATTGCACACAGCACTTATTGCACACAGCACTGATTGCACACAGCTGTCATCAATCACACATTCACTATAATACACTCACTCAAACAACCATTCTCTGCCGAGTATTGTATGTGCTTATTGCCAGCAGTGATAGCTACTCTACAGAGCCCCCTTTAGCTTCCTAGCCTAGCCTAGTCTTGCCTTGTCTGTTTTCTCGATTTCTGATCTTTGCCTGTTTTCCTGGATTTATCCCTTTAGTCTCGCCCTTGTGATTCTGTTCGCCGATCGTTGACCTACGCTAGCCCTAGGACTATTCTTGTGTCTTGCCCGCCATATACCTGTTTGCCACTGTTCGACCCTGCCTGTGTTTCTGACCTCCTCTGCTGTTAATAAAGCTTGCACATGGATCCGCACGTCTCACGTCTTGTCAGCCCCGTAACATTAGCAAGGCAGCCCTGAGGCAAATAGAAAAACTAGTTTGTACAATAAAATAAACAATAAAATAAAAAAATCCTTAATACAAGGAAAAAAAAAACTTTTGCAAAGAAAAATAATAATGATAAACTGGTAAATTTGCATATCTTTTCTGCAAATTCAAATGAACAAACAAAATCAAATGAGCAGCTAAATACTAGATACAAAGTGCTATTAGAACAAACAAGAACTGCTACATTTGCAAATTTAAATACATTAACAAATAAAATCAAATGAGCTGCTATATTTAGATACAGAGTGTTATTAGAACAAACAAGAATGGCTACATTTCACTCTAAAGTACATGTTGACTTTTGAAAATTGAACTGGAGTTTACTGTTCACTGACTGGGATGTCTAGGCTCTTTTGTAGAAACAGAAGCTGGTCTACATGTTCCAGAGAGAGCGTGCTTCATGTGCAGTTACTATGTCCCTGGCAGTGGAGAATACCCTCTCTGCTGCATCACTAGTACCAGGGATGCATAGATAATGCTTAGCCAACTTGGCCAGGAGGGGAAATGACCCCCACCAGCTGAGCGGGTCTTCTGAGAGTGATAGTGGGCGGGCCTCCAGACATTTCCTCATCTCCACCTCAGCTCTGGCATCAGGAGATCTAGGGACAACTCTGTCATTATTGAATGTCTTGCCCAATAGATTCATCAGTGCAGATGTTCTTTTTGGGGCAGGGCCTTCATCCAGGCCTTTGTCTGGGCTATCTGGCTTCTTAGCAGGGTTCTCAAGCTCCCCCTTCTATTAGAGCTATTAGAGACAATGTTGGTGTGCTGTCCTCTGACATTATGTTAGTTGCCTCTTTAAATGGCTTGAAGGCCATAGCCAGTTCTTCTGCATTAGTGAAGAAAATTTAGTAGATGTTGGCTCAAATGGCAGGTTGTTGCTCAAGGAATCGGTCTACCATTTCAAATGCGCTATTCCATCTGGTAGCAACATCTGTATTCAACTTGTGGGGTGGCAGCCCCAGAAGTCTCTGTTTCTCCACAAGGGCATGATTTGTGGTGGGGCTTGCGGTGAAAAATCCAGTGATTTTCCCAATCCTCCCCAACAGTCATGATACAGATGGCAGCTTCAGAGCTCACTGTGCAGCAAGGTTGATGGTATGAGCGAAACACCTAATGTGTGCTAAGTTGCCTAGCAGTGTAGCAGCAATCATGTCAGCAGCGTTATCTGTAACTATTACCAGGTCGGTGGTTGTGAGCTGCTATTCCTGTGCAACAGCCTGAAGTGACTCACTGACATTTTCAGCTGTGTGGTTTTCGTTCATTACTCTTGTTTGCAGAACACGAGACACAAGCTGCCAGTCATCTGTGATAAAGTGCAAGGTGACAAACGACTGAGTTGCCCTTGATGTCCACACATCAGTGCTACTCTTGTTGCTGTCTTCAAGGCTTCCGCAAACCTTTATCTTTGTCTCTTGGTATAGCTGAGGTACCGTTTTCTCAGTAAAATGTCGACGGGATGGTATTCTGTACCGAGGCTCAATTGTAACATGCACCGAAAGCCTTCATTATCAATGACACTGTAGGTGTGCAGATCTTTCTAAATGAAATTTAGAAAATTGGTGCAAAGTTCGTTGGCTGACCGGAAATTTGCTACTGGAGGTTTTTGTTCTGCAGGCGTTCGATGTGACTCCTTATGCTTGTAGTGCTCCCAAAATACTTCACGTTTGCATTATAATTTATAATAAAAAAAAATAATTCCCCCACCCCCTAAATATATATATACATACATACATACATATACATATACATGTATATAGAGCAGTATTTGACTGCTCTAAATTATGAAGCTATGCACTCAATGAACTGGAATGCATAGTAACCATCTTTATTGAGCGATTTTCTAATTTGTAAAAAAAAAAAATCATGTCTTTCCGCTTAGCGACACCCTGACACAGTTAAAACACCACTAACATTTTCATCAAAACATAAAAAAAATTTACATCTTTGCCCTCTAATGCATCTTGTGTTCTTGGCACCCCTCTTTTTTTTTTTCTTCTCACTCCCATCTTCAGCGTTATGAATGAAGCTTGCAGAGGGAGAGTGTGTGCATGTTTTGTGTGTGCGCAAAGAAAAGACTAGATAAATGCGTAATGGGGGGATGGCTGGGGTGATGTCGTGAGAGATGGTTTAATTTTAGCAAACGCGAAGTTCCTCCACCACTTATCCATAAGATCTATAAATAACCACGATCCTGCATGGCTCACTCGATCCTGTACACTCCCACTCATATACACACGGCCTCCGGAGTCACAGAATCCAGCAAGGGATGGATGGAGAGGGGACGGCAGGGAGGGGGAGGGGAGGAGGTTGCTAGGAAACCATTGGCAGGCAGGTCATGTGACTGGAGATGACTGGCACTGGTATAGAATGCAGTCTCACAAAACAACACAACACACACACACACACACTATCATCACATACAGTTTTATATGGTGTAATTTCACAACAAGAAGTATATTTCTCCTCCTGTTTGACATGATCAATGCATGTTGATATGGTTAGAACGATTGGGTCACTTTGCACCAGCTCAAACAGGCGCACACAAACAGGGATGGCAATACAATCTTTGGCCAACACAGTGTGAAAGATGAAAATACTAACCACACACATACACAAATTCATCAGTGTTAAAACAATTAATTTTTCTCCACATAGTAATGCAAAAGGGATACTGAGCAACACAGAGTATGATTGAATTGCTGTTGATTGAATGACTGCATTGTTTATAGACGTGCAAACAATCACAAAGCTACTGCTTGTCTGTATTTTAAGGTCATTACAGGAGCGATGACTTTAGCAGTTGATTAAACCACGCAACTGGACTGTATGTGGGTTGAATTATGTCATCTGTTCAGTCTTCACAGCAGAGGCATCTAAAAATGACACAATTTAAAAATTGTACATCTTCGGCAAACTACTTGCTTTGACTTCTTGCTGTCTTAGTGATATGCATTAGTATTAATTGAGACCTTGATTATATATTTGTCATTATTAGGTTTTTGAATTTGTAACAGCAATTAAAAGGAAATCTAGAGTGTGGCCCAAAAGTTACGTCACAATGAAGATCTGGGATTCAGCATTTAATATAATCTTGGAAATTTATCAGCTCCTCTTTTCACTTGTTATGATAATATATTGCTGTATATTGCCATTAAATTAAATTAAATTGGGATTCGAGATGTATTTTTTTAAATTAATAAATGAATTAAATTAATTTGGGATTCAAAATTCAATTGCTATATATATTGCTATTGCTAAAATTCAATATAAACCTGCACATTTTTCAGTTATTCTTTTCACTTGTTTTATATGAGCAATTTCATACGAGTAGACATGCGATATGGCTGTATATCGGCACGGCTGTGATTCGGCTGTAGGCACGAGGCTGCAGGTAATTACAACGTGCCGATATCGCACGGCTACGAGTGTGATATTGCGTTTATACAACAGTTCGATGCCACGAGTGTGTAAATACATAAGAAACAACAACGGAGTGTCTTTCAAAAACCCTCTTTTGTGCAGAACTACTTCCTTCCGCCACGGATTCAAATCTCAATTTGACAGTTTAACAGCTGTTTAATTAGAAAATGTCAGTTTAGAACTAGTAACGAAGGAACATTGAGTTGCTTCATTGAAAGCTTATTGTATTACTGTATTAAAACCTGACTGTATTATGGAGAGTAGAGTATTATGAGAGAGAGCTGGAATGAGAGAGTGTTATTACCTGCATCTGATACAGCATTCATTCTTCAGCTCAATCTCATATTCACAATAAAACACGAGTTTGAATGTCTGCTGAGGAAAGCGATATCTTTGTCGTACTCTCCTTTCATCTTTTAAGGGTGATTTCCAATGACAGCGCTGCTATTCACTGCATTTGTTAACTGCGTCTTTTTATTAGTAACAGTGATGTGACATTTGAACCGAGGCGTCGGAGCTTGCGGCAGAGAATAAATGAGCATGCCAAATGAAGCCTCGATTACAGGCTTGTGTTGTTAACGTAGAAATCACGTGACCAATGACAAACGAAGCCTCACTTTCTGTCCAATCACATGCTCGCGTGTTGGAATGTTCGAACCCACAGATCTTACTTTACAAGTAAGTTTTCATTCATACTTATTCAATTACCTTTTTAAATACCCAGTCATATAAGTAATACGAAGAATACAAATTATTTAAGTAAAATAAAACATTGAATTTAATGCCATAAAACTGACATTTAATGCCACCGTTTAATGGCAAGTCTATACTTCATGTTACGTTGCCTTTCAAAAAAAAAAAAAAACCTGTTATAGGCCTAATCAGTTTCTCAGTATATTAAAAAAAAACTGTTTTGAAATGATTTATTGTGAAAAGTGCAATAGAAACTAGTTTGTCTTCAGGTTTATATATCTAATATTGCACATAAAAATACAAACTCATAATTTTCCAGATATTTCATAATTTGATTTGGCTTCAGTACACTAAGAATATATTATATATTAATAGATAAAAAATCCAAGAATATAAAACAAATCAATATAAAATTATGCAGTTATCCAAATGTAGTCACCATCACTATCGTTTTAGAAAGCAGCTCTACCAAGCTAACTTACATCAGGCCTTCATGCAACACCTATAACTTTAAATCAAGCACTGTCATATAACATAAAAAAAGAGGTATTATATTTTTTGCATCCAGATTATTCAGAAGCACAGGAAGAACAAGACAGAGATTGAGTGGAAGAGATATGTGATGCTTGCTGCTACATATACCAGCAAGTCAGTGCTCACGCCTCCCTGAGCATTCACCTTGAGCTCAGCAGTCCCCCACCACCATTGGAGGAGAAACAGACACCTCATGCTCTCATTGGCCATGAGGGGCCAGCCTGTTGCTGGGCTGTTTCCATGGAGATGGCTTATCGAAGGTGCCGCAGCAGCCGTCACTGAGGAAATAGATGGGGCAAAGATGGTTAATGAGAAAAAGTGAGGATTGCATGTCTTTGTGTGTGTGTGTGTGTGTGTGCGTGAAAGAGAGAGAGACTAAATGGATTGAGGGTAATGATGCAAAAAAGGATGGATGAATAAAGAAACAGGTTGGTTATGTGTGGATGCTGGTGAATGTGTATGACTCATATTAACATATATGTATGAACTTTAAAAGTTGATGTTTCAAGACGAGGAATAGCAGGTGAAAGGCCCAGAAAGAATATCCTCCAGTAGACCTGAAGCATTCTGATGTTAAAAAATTGAACAAAATATGTGATCAATAAGCTCCAAAAGCCAAATCCCTCTATATTCAACATCCTCTGCTGTTGTTGCATGAAGAAAAGCATTGTAGTGAACTGCATTTACATCTTGGATGGTCAGAGCGTGAGTATATTTTCATCAAATTTTAATTTTTTGGGTGAACTGTTCCTCTAATTCATCTGTTTATAGTTTATACAAATAATGGTAATCCTACAGCAAAAAAAAAAAAAAGGAAATTAAGAAATATGATACATTTAGTGAGGTCATGCTCAAAACAAATAAACAAACTTTTAATTTTGCTTTTCTAAATAATAAAGATCTTTGCTTGCCCTGCCAACATTTTACTGACCACAAAGCCACAAATATGATAAATTAAAAATGTAAAATTATTTTAGCAGCATAGTTTTTATATGATTAGATACTGCATTTTCTTGACAAAAAGGCTATAATGTAACTTGTTGCCTGTAATGTTGCATATTAAATCTTATAGAAAGAAACTAAGTATTTAGGATGCCATTGAACAAATGAGAATAAGAAGCTGCAAACTAATATGACTGGACTTCTTCCAGTCATTCTTCTTCTATTCATCACGTGTATCTTTATTCTGTAGCAGGTGCTAGTTTAGATGTTGAGGGCTCAATATCATTAGAGTGTGATTTTACTACAAAAAAGCCAATAGAATCATTCAGCTGATGTTTGTACAGCCTCCGTTATCCTCATTAGTGTCCACTGACCTTCAAATACGTTTCCTATATCAATCATTCCGAGCGATACTGAGGGATTCGCCATGGAGACCAACCTCTACTCATGTAGCACTGAAGCACGTAATTAACTGTGATCAGAGCCAGTGGCTTTAATAGTCGGAGATGTGTTGACCAACATGATTCTGATTCATTAGAAATCTAAGGATGACTGTAATCACTCCATTTACTGGGAGCAGCATTTGATCTCAGGGGTCTTAAGGGTTTATATGTAGGCCTATAATGTATGTGATTAAAATGGCATTAGTCAGTCTTTGGCTGGTAATTATTTCATTAGAGAAAGAATCACATGTATGAATTATTAACCTGACACCAACTGGACACATATCCTCATTTCACTGCAGTAGCTGACATAAAATACATTTTGAGACGATGGCAAGTCCTGCTGATTGGCATGTATGCCAAAACTATATAAAACAGCTTTTAGCTAATTATTTTTGATTTATTATTCAATGTTGACTTCATAATAATTTTGATAAATGCAAATAAAAATGTGAGAGAAATTTTTTTTTACTATTTACTATGAGTCGCACTATGAAATGAAATTAAAATTAACTAAAAATGAAATGGCAACCAGTTATAGTAGCTAAAATAAAGGCTACCTTTCTTTATACATTCATATTTATATCATATATTACATAAACATCAAATACAGACATTTGCAAATTGCTTAAAAATATGGTGAAATTACTTACTATGAGTTTTGAGGCACTTACAATGGCTTTACAATGTTTTCATAGTAGGCTACAATGACATATTTCAACTCAAATGATAGAAGGAAATTTCCTTATGATATGAACCAAACATGTTTGTCTCATACTGAAATGCACAACACAAACACAAACACAAATGACACGAGACAGAGAAAACACCAAGCCCAGTGCATATTTCTAACTTAATTATGAATCCACCGGGAGTCTCAGCTCTTTCTGCATGGATCAGCTGTATCTCATCCCGATCTCTCTGAACGTGCAGCTAAATGACACGGATTGATTTTGAATGGACAGAGACAATTCAATTTAACCGAAGCAAAGCCAATAAAACTAAAACAACGAAATGCTCGAATTTACCATTACAATATTAAGGCAGATGAATGACCTTGACGGTCCGTTCCTGGACAAGGCCTGCGAAAAAAGAATACATTATTCGAGAATGAATTGTTGCAGCGATTGAACTCGCTTGTGAACTGCGCCCTCTGCTGTTTCTGGAGGATAATACACCGCCCTGATCATCTGTACTGCTAATCTCTTTGTAATGGCTGCAGTGTCTTATTATCCAACGATTTTCTAGATATACGTGATATACATGTATCAAATTAAACTAACGTTGATTATTCAACTTAAAACGCACTATACTGAGTTTATCGGCAAGAGATGTGGCGACATCTCGTGGTCGAATGATATATGACAACATAAAATCACCTCAAATCGGTGCATTATCGATTAAAGACAACTGATTTGCAAGTTAAAATGATAGATAAGGAAGGAAACGCAACTTAAGTGGAGCTACAAAATAATAAACAGACATATTAAGTAAATATACCTAAGTCAGGGTAGCGCCATATTTATTTTTTTGACAGATGAAAACGACCTGAGGGATAGAAGTAGCATACAGTGCGTTCAATGGACTGCACTGTTTTTTAACTACATATCGATTGTTCAGCTGACGAAATATCGTTTTCATCCGCGTTAAATTCAGGATGGCCTAACCTGATTATGGTATGATGTGACTAGTTCTATTTGCCGCGTTTTTCCACACCTGTTTGATTAACAACATTGTCCAATCACTGAACTCACCAACCAACAAAATCCCAAATTAATCCAACCATAGTTGTCATCAAAATAACATATACCCTGTTAGAAAATCCAATTTAAACTAGTAGATATGCTTTGAATGGTAGCTGGTTCATAGCATGTCGGTGCAGGCAGGTTACCTTGAAATGGCAAAAAACCAGCAACCAGGTCAGAGGTTATATGACCCTAAGTGGTCAAGCAGGTTTTTGGAATATAGTGGCGGGCCATTGAGCTAATGATCAGCTTGCACTAGCTAATGAACAATTTAGGTAATTAGCTGTTTCAAAACACAATTTTATTATTATTATTTTTTTGCAGACAACTTTCTAGTATGCACCAATTTGCCTTTCTCATATAATATGCCTTTATATATACAATTTCCCTATATTCCCCTCATATATAAAAAAACAAATCAGTAAAAATAAGTAGCTAATATGAGGTCAAATGAATAAAATGCCCTATATTTATCATTTGCACCATTGTTTTTATTTTATCTAGTTTATTGATCTAATGATCTACTTTCCATTTTTAAATTGAGCCTTATTTTCTGCTTTAAAAGTTTCTGTTTTCTGCTGTCGGTGAACTTTCTGATGTGGTTTAACCCCGTTGTAACATCTGGTAATAGTTATGTAACACTAACTGGTGCAACATGCTGTAATATAATACTTCCATGGGTGAAATTCCCAAGTTGCTGCTGTGTAATATTTCTCTCCCCCACATAGTCCCCCCCGCATGTCCAAATTCTTGTTTCCATTTTTTTTTTCATTTGTGTAACCTATTTGCTTTTTCCAAACAGTTGTCATTTGATGTCTGTCTTTTGGCCCAAACAACTGAGAATACACTGATTGCATGGATAGTCCCTCCGCTGTGACCCAGAGGTTATGAGCTTCACTCAAAGGCACAAAGTGATAAAATAGGAATGTGACCTTAGTAACTCAGCAGTTTCTAGGACACCCACATTGGGATTGAAACTTGCATTCCTTGTGCTGGCAGCCATGGTACTTAACTATTAGACTACCTAAACTTTCCTTAAAGAGCTCACATACTTAGCTTTTTTAATAATAGTACATTTTCCCCTGAAGTCCACTTATAATAGTCTAGTTTTTTATGTTCACATTTAGTTTTGTATGTGCCAGTTTAGTTCCTACTTCTCTCAAACTCAAGTACACTAAAAGTTCGAGGTTGGTAAGATTTTTTTAATGTCTTTTATGCTTACCATAGCTGCACTATTTGATCAAAAATAATAGTAATATTGTGAAATATAATTTAAATGTAAAATAACTGATTTCTATTTGAATATATTTTAAAACGTAATTTATTCCTGTGATGCAAAGCTGAATTTTCAGCATCGTTACTCCAATCTTAAGTGTCACATGATCCTTCAGAAATAATTTTATTATGCTGATTTGCTGCTTAAGAAACATTTTATAATTATTAATGTTGAAAACAATTGTGGTGCTTAATGTTTCTGTAGAAACTGTGAAACATTTTGTAAAAAATCATAAATGTCTTTACAGTCACTTTTGATCAAGTTAATGCATACTTGCTGAATAAAAGTATTATTATTATTATTTATTTAAAGTAGTAATTCCTTCAAATTATACAGTACATGGTGCCTTATTTTTACAGATTTTTTTTAAGAGTGTAGGCAATCTTTAGCATCTTGGGAATGGTTTCTTGCACATATTCATTCACATAAATTACTTGAATTAAACGCAGCATTTTGCTTATGAACATCTGCAGCCATAAGGAAAGCGTCACAAATAACTTTGCACACAGCTTCTGGGTTTCTGCTTGTGGTAGGAGGCCTATTATCACTCACAGATTGCAGATATTTCTCGCAGCTGGGCTGTTTTTAATGAAGGACTGGTTTAGTGGTCTGATGCAATATTTTGTTACCACATGTGGCCTACATTATGTTGGATAAAACATCTGGGAAATGACATTTCTGTTTGAGATTTACATATGCTGTGAACTATCAGATTCAGTAAAGAGTAGAGAGAAGTATTTCATATTTTCGTTTTCATCTTCTCTATTAAGTAAAGAGAAGGTGTTCACTACTTCAGTGAGTACACTGTATTGTCAAAATTATTCCAGTTTACTTTTAAACAGTAACTTACTTCCCAGAATGCACCATAAACACCAGTGAGCATTAGTTGCTCGCTATATTCACTGTCATTATGTCTTATTCAGTCGTTATAAATGAAGAACGAGGGCATTTTTCATAATGCTGCTGTACTTTTTAAACAGCTATTATGAAGATGCACAAGAAACAAATCAAGTGACAACAGAAGGATATTAGTCATGGCCTGTGTTACACAGCGGAGCTTTTGATAAATACCAGCTACATTTTAATGTGCAACCTTATAATTGTGTCGCATCAGTAACTGAGTCATCAGTTTCCCAATGTTTTGTGAATCAAGATCTTTGTTAGCGTCCGAATTCATGTTTAAATTATACAAGGGAGAAAAATGAGACATAGCCTATGTTCAGAATGAAATACTAGCATATTATTTACGTCATTAAGATGACCAAATGTCCTCTTTTTCCCAAACAATAGGAAAACAAAGTCAAAACCCGGACATTTTAGGCAATTTAAAAATCCCGTCCAGGATGTGACATGTGAAAAAGAGGACATATGGTCACCGTAACCCCATAGACTGTATACTGACTACTATTTATTACAAATATGCAATGCTTTGGTCAATATCATCCTACATTGCTGTCATATTGACTATACTGCATATACATGACTATATTGCATATTTAATTTAACAAGTGCCATTATTATCTCAGAAATATCGTATGGTTATTTATTTGTCTGAATTTTTGACATGCCGCCAAAGTAATCAAGAAGGTTATTTATATACCATTATAGTATTTATTATTATTTTGAATTAGCTTTTATTTCCATATTTTCAGTTTAATTTGAGTAATTTTGTTATGCTTATTTTTAATTGTTTTGTATTTTTAAATACATACACTCTAAAAAATGCTGGGTTAAATACAACCCAGTGCTGCGTAAAATATGGACAAACCCAGCAATTGGGTTGTTTTGACCCAGCTACCAATTGCTGGGTTTGTCCATATTTTACCCAGCACTGGGTTGTATTTAACCCAGCATTTTTTTAGAGTGTAGCTTTAATTTATTTTTATACTCAAACATTTCATTTTTAGTTGCCAAGGCAAAATTTAATTTATCATTTAAGTTTGATCATCTAACATATTTAATGTCAGCTTTAATTTAAATAATGATTTTTTTTTTTAAATACACTGTAAAAATTATTTATGGTAAATAAAAGGAGTTGTACATAAAACAGATTATTGAAGTATGTTTTACAAGAAAATACTTCAAAATTTCACGTTTAATTCAATGTGTTACTTACAGTTTCTTTGTTGTTTGCGAAATGTATTAGCAATTTCAGAGTTTGTTTCTACAACATTTTTTCAGTGTCATTTTAGATTTAGTTTTAGTTAACAGTAATACCTCTGGTCCTTAATAAACAGTGCGCTTTCTCTTCTTTAAAAGAAAAAAAAACATCCCTTATGCAAATACATAAATATTCAGAATGAATGCCATCAAAAATCATTGAGATTTTATAGTTATATTGCCCTGCCTTCTTTTATGAGGCTCTTTGCAGTATAAGTAATGTCCCCCTGGAGGCGCTGTCCCCCCCCCCCCCTCCATTCGTCCTCCAGGCTCCACCATTTCTCTCTCTCCACACGTGCTTCTTTTCCCGCTTTCTTTCCCAGCCACTGCATCAGCTTAGACACAACAGAGGTCAAAGGCTGAATAAACACAATTGAAGAATAACCAGGAGGGACTAATGGCTCGCAGGCACTCATTTTCATGTTTTCCTCGCAGGCACTCATTTTCATGTTTCCCCCCCTCTTTTTACCTCTCTCACACAGTACATTATATTTGCATTATTCCTGTCGTTCTCTCTCCCTCCCTCTTCAGCTCTCAGTCTCTGCAGTCAGAGGTTAAACCGAGCATTAGCCGTCAGCGAAAGGCCCGTTTTTAATCGCTGATTGCACATCATTGCTATCAACATTTAATCATGGCTCCAGTCGCATCCCCACACGCCCACAGCTGACTTAACAGGCTCTGACACGGAACAATCGCCACACTCAGCTTGTATCTCATCAGCGACAGAGCCTTGAGATCCAACTCATTAAGGAAAGGGCTAACGAATGCGGGGTGACAGGTGCATAAGGACTCTACGTCGTTTAAAAAAGTCGCAAGTCGCGAGCCGAGCTGGAACTGCCTCATTACGACGCCGGAACAGTACGCGAGCGCTTGAGAGGACAAATTAGCAATGTATTCATTATATTCTCGTGAAAGCGATGTCAAGTCTTTGTGCGGTGTTGAGGCCGGTTGGGTTTCAATTACAGAGAATGCTATGAAGAGTTAATGGGTATTAACACAGAGTACGTGCAGCTAATGAATCAGGCAGCCTTTTGGTGGGCAACAAATGGCAAACAGTGTCTGACTCAAGCAGCCTACAATCGCCTGCTTCTTCGGGGCGTCGTGAGGCATACAAATGACCGAAGGCACACCGCAATAGTTGACGTCTTTGCAGTGGAATTAGCATATTAATCAAAGACAACAGGGGGCTAGTTCTCATTGAGGTAATTGCATTCTCTATGGTGAATGGTTTTAAATCTCATCAAGCTACCTGGCCTGGGTCTTTCTTGAGAAGTTGGGCTGTTGGAATAGAAAACACCCAGGCAATTTTCCTTGGAAACTCACACACTACTGTAACTAAAGTCTTCCTGCCATCTTATATAGATAGATAGATAGATAGACAGTGGTTTTTGTCCAGTTGTATTTACTCAGTGCAACTTATAACATACAAGTGAAAGCTATAAAACTAACATGTCAGAAAAAAAAATTAAAAACAGAATCACTAATGCCGAGTTCACACTGCACGATTTTAGCCCGATTTTTCACTCGCCGACAGGTTTTGCGAAATTGCCGACAAATGCCCGAAATCGGAGGCAAATCGGTACTCGTTCACGCGAGTGACAATCACGCAGTGTGAATTATCAAAGACGCGATCTGAGGGAATCGCCGACGCGTCGCCGACACCCGTGAAATATTTGGCATGCTAAATATCTGGAGCTGTCGGCGATTCACAATCACGCAGTGTG